CCTCCTCCACAATTTGCAGAGAGACAGAGACAGACAGAGAGAAGGACTTGCGCTTCCCTATATAACAATAATATTTTTTTGTCTGAACAAAACTGGAAAATGAACAATTACTGACACTTAGTGGAGAATCAGAGCACAGAACACTAACAATAATGACTCAGAAACTGTCAGGATGCCTAGAAACAAAGAATAATCTGTTCCCTTAAATTTTATATAAACTTGAAGACAACTGGGAACAAAGAGTTGGCCCAGCCATAAGATTAAAAAGTGTCTGAAAGAAAAATACTTGGACTGTTGACTAAATTTAAGGATTATTTAGAGAAAAAGAAAAACTTTGGCTCTTGACTAATCTTTTAGAGGAGAATCTACAGGAAGGATTTAAGGTGGCTTAACATACTGAATTACAATTTTGACTGATTGATGATTAACCCCTGAACTAAAATATTGATGAAAGACTATTTGAAGGGAGGAGACAACATGGATACCATATACTTATCAACAAATAACAGGACATCACATTCAATGTTCATCCCTGAAGGATTTAGCCTGGAACATCAAAGACTCTCAGAAGCAATATTTCAAGGCAAGACAAATACTTTCCAAGAGGAAATGTATGCAACGTTACGACAGATACAAATGACAATAGATTTAAACCACGAGGAAATTCAGAACAATTTTGATGACATAAATAAGCACATCTCTAATCTAAATCTACAATCAAAAACACCCAGAAAATGATGGCGAATGAACAAACAAATCAGATAACAGAACACAAATTAAGAGAACATGATCATATTGACGAAGCTATAAATGAAAAGAATTATAATCCAACATAAACAGGAAAAAATTACAAGACTTTGATATAACAATAAAAATGGAGTGGGCTATAGATTTCCCAGGAGAATTATTAGAGTTTGGGAGACAGAAAGTATATATCCTACCTATTCTATCTTCTGTATTCCCAACAATACTTGCAAAAACACAGGAACTGCCGGGTAAGCAGAATATATCAACTTGGAAAGCTATTCAGCAAAAGAAGAAGGCTAGAGACCGATTCAAAAGATTTGAGTCGCTCTACCAGATGGAGTATTACATGAGTAAACACTTGTTTGAATATGGTTAAAAGAATAGAGAACTTTGAACATAAAGGAGCCCTATAACAAGAGGGATTAGAGATTTAAGTAATATAGTATGTTTTACAATATATGAAATGTAAAAATATTGGGATGATGTAATTTTTATAAATATAAGTGAAATATAAGCTGATCAGAAAGGATGTTATACCCAGATGTTATAAGATAGATAAGAAGCACAGTATTTTTATAATACATGGAATATGAAAATATTGAGATGGTGTACCTAAATGGAAAAAATTGGATATTTAGATGATCAACATTGAGAAAATCATGACTGATAAGAATAGATTGAATAAAAGGGGAAATTAAGCTTAAACAAAAATTACGAAAATAGGATGCATGGTGAACTAATGAGATGATGGTTAGAAGAATAATATAAGCTGATAAAAATGTTATACATAGATGTTATCATTATCTGTATAAATATGAGAAATGTCTATATTTAATCATTTATATATTGAAAATATATAAATTATATTTGTTTAAGGTTGAAGAAGAAGAATACAAATGGGAGAAGAGAAGATCAAAGAAATATATTATTAATTAATATACTAATTATGGAATTATCAAATTTAATCATTATTGACTGCTAATTAATTATTATTGCTTTTCCTCCCCTCAAATATATAAAACAAGACAACACATTGTACACCAGGCACTGGAGATTGTTATTGTTAAAAAAAACCAGAGATATGATCAAGATTATGTGAAGTGTTAATACCAATTTATAATGCCTTGGTAAGATCACACTTGGAATATTGCATCCAGTTTTGGTTGCTACAATATAAAAAAGATGCTGAGACTCTGGAAAAGTGCAGAGAAGAGCAACAAAGATGATTAGGGGGCTGGAGGCTAAAACATGAAGAAAGATTATAGGAATTGGGTATGTTTAGGATTAAAAGAAGGACTAAGAGTGACATGATAGCAGTGGTCCAATAATTGAGGGGCTGCCACAAAGAGGTGGAGGGGTCAATCTATTTTCCAAAGCACCAGAAGGCAGGACATGAAGTAGTGGATGGAAACTAATCAAGGAAAGAACTAAGGAGAAATTTCCTGACAGTGAGAACAATTAACCAGTGTTGTAGGTGCTCCATCACTAGTGCTTTTTAAGAAGAGCCATTTGTCCAGAATCATATAAGATCTCCTGCTTGTGCAGTTGGTTGAAGTAGAAGACTTCCAAGATGCCTTCTTACTCTTATTTTGTTATTCTGCCTATTGAATAATATAATGTTTCAAAACTCGTTTCCATAATCAGTTTCAACAACATTTTATTAATGTTAGCAATAACACGTTTATTATAATTTCACAATACAATTACAAATTCTTTTTTTTTAACAGATTCAAACCCTTAACTTTTTTGTCTAAATTCAATTTTAAGTATGTAAGCTAATGACAGACATGTCCTTCTGATTCCAACTCTTCTTTTTACCTGAGACTAGGTTCAACTTGATTAGAAATTTTTATATGATCATTAAGTCCACCAGTCTGGTCTGAAAAAAGCTTCCTGATCTTGACTTGGTGGGGGATAATGCCTGTGAACTGTAGGATAAGAAGTTCTGTGTATTGTCTTGTCTATGATGTGAATTTATATTATGTAATATTATGTAATATTATATTACATTATATTACATTAATAGCTAATTTTGATTTACTTTACTGCTCCAAGAAAGAATAGCATATCATTCTGAGCATGATTTGCAATAGAGGCTATACATATTGGGTCTCCATGCCCTTCAAATAATCCTTTTCAAATAGAATCTGAAGTGCTGCAGGGTCCAATTTTTAAAATTAGTCTTTGTAGCACAAAGACCAGTATTGCTATGGAACTGAAAATTAATGTCAAATGTTACAACAGACTCATGATCTTATAAAATTTGGACTGAGAAAGGTATTACAAATTAACACAGAAACAATCCTTATGAGCTATGGCATAGTTGTGTTAAATGTATGAGGTGGCCCAAAAAATCATTTACAGGTAATCCTCGACTTATGACCGGTTGCTTAGTGACCACTCAAATGTACGACTGGATCCATAGTTCTGATGATTAGCCTCCTTCCCTGTGGTCATGTGATTGTGTTTCATGATGGTTTTGCTGAAAATTGGCACCTCATGTTTTTGGCAAAACTGCCCTACCCCAAAATGGATTCGCTTAACAACCATGGCGTTTGCTTAACAACCACTGTAAAAAATAGTGTAAAATCAGGTCAGTCACATAACCAACCTGCTTTAGGACTGTTACAATTTATAATCGTAATGGGCAGGCTGTATTACAATTATTATTTGAGGACTACCTGCTATATTCTCATATATTCCCTGTCCAGCAATTGTTCAAAGAATGAAACCATGTAGTAAGAGCAAGCTAATTTTTAAATCTTTATTCAAATCCAATGTTTCCATTTTTTTTTATTGTGGTTTAATTATAAATGTATCTTACTATTTTATTAAAAAAAGACAGCCACACAAAAGACAAGAAATACAGGAAAAGGAGGGCATAATAATGTTGAATCTCTTTTAAAGTGTGGTTCTCTGGATTGGATATTGTAATCCAAGTGCAGCATAACCAGTTATTATCATCTGATATGAATGCAATGCTTCTGAAAATGCAGCCCAAGATTTCATTGATCATTTTAGCTGTTGTATAGCAATGAATTGCTCATGTTCAACAGTGGCCTAATAGTATCCCTAGATCCTGATCATCTATTAGTACAGATCTTTTTTTTTTAATTTTATTAGATAACAAAAAAAGAAAAAGTTTAAAAACATTGAACATGGTAAATCAGACTTGACCAACATCTCAGTTCATTCCTATTCATAATTAATTAAACTCTATACAATAACATCACTCTAAACTCAATCTTAACTTATCTCATCACAGTGACCTCCAAATTTTTTCCCCCACCATTTATAAAATTTATTCCATATTTGGTAGAAATCCATAACATCCTGATTTTTAAGTCTTTTAGTTAACGTATCTAATTCTGCGCAATGCATAATTTTATAAATTAAAATTTCCTCACTAGGTACAGCTGTATTTTTCCAGTTCTGAGCGAATACTATTCTTGCCGTTGTTAGTACAGATCTTTTCAACCTTTTCACCCATTGTACCACTTTTACGATATGGCAATATCCGAGAACCACCAGTCCCCTAGCAAGATGTCAAAAACTTGATGACCAAAAAAACAGAGAAAAAAATGATAAAGTACAGGTAGTCCTCAACTTACAACAGTTCAGAAGTTACAATGGCAATGAAAAAAGTGTCCCCCAAGCCACAGCTGAGCAAGACGCCTGCCCACCCGGCGGCACTCTTCCTCCTGTCCGAGGTTTTTATTGTGAGCATTACTATTGAGGATTGACAGCAGGGGTAGGGTGGGGGTTGTTTGGTTTTTATTCCCCCTGTCTGCTGGGTGGTTGCAGCAGGTTTTGGTCACTTTACATGACCCTGGGACACTGGCCATTATAAATATGAATCAGTTGCCAAGCATCTGAATGTAAATCACAAGACCCTGGAGATGCTGCAACATTCCAGCTTATCGGCGCTTCTTCTGGGCTCAGCAGAAGCATCAGGATCAGTGCTGCTTTCCAGCTGATTGGTGCTTCTTCAGGGCTCAGCAGAAGCACCAGGATCAGCGCCGAGCTCCAGCTGGAATCTGGCGCTTCCGCTGAGCCCTGACAGCCTCAAGGAAGCGCCGATCAGCTGGAAAGCAGCACTGATCCTGGTGCTTCCGCTGAGCCCTGATAGCCCTGCAGCTCCAGCCATCTCTCGCTCAGGCTTGTGTAGTGCTGCCACCAGTTCAGCTCATTCCCCTCCCCCGCTACCACTTTTCTAGGATGGTCGCGTACCACCTGCCAGGTGCCAATGTACCACAGGTGGTACCCGTACCACTGGTTGAAAAGCTCTGTACTAGTATTCCTAAATTTATTTTGTTGCGCCAGGCCAAATCTTCCCAATCCTATAGCTATGTATTAAACTTTTTCTAGCTGAATGAAAGTTCTTACATTTGTCATTTTTCAACATCAGCCTTTTGTATTTGGGCTATTTTGAAGGTAATTTGAATTATGATTAATTTCTAAAGTTATTAGCCAGTCCCACTGGCTTAGTAGCATCTGAAAATGTAATAAGCTTTCCTTCCATTTTCTCCTCTAAGTGTCTTATTAAAATGTTTAATAGCATTGAGCTGAGAATTGAGTCCCAGAATACCCCATTTTATATTTTCTCCCAGAATAATTTAAATCCATTTATGAACATTCTGTGGATGTATCTGTCAACCAACAAATCCATTTGACTGTACAAGTAGTCCTGAACGTACGACCACAATTGAGTTCAAAATTTCTGTTGTTAAGTGAGTTTTGCTCTACTTTACAACCTTCCTTGCCACAATTGTTAAGTGAATCACTGCAGTTATTAAATTGGTAACATGGTTGTTGAATGAATCATACTTCCCTGTTCATTTTGCTTGTCAGAAGGTCACAAAAGATGATCACCTGATCCCAGGACATTGCAACAACATGCCAGTTGCCAAGAGTCCGAATTTGGAGCATGTTACCATAGGAGTCCTGAAAAATGGTCATAAATCAGTGCCATTGTAACTTCCAGTGTCTTTTTTTACTTCGAACAGTTACTAAACGAACTGTTGTAAGTCAAGGTACCATTTAACTCATATTTATCTTCTCCAAATATCACAAGAGATCTTAACAAATACCTTATTGCACGGGTGTCAAACTCATCACGTGATGTGTCGTGATGTATCACGACTTTATTTGCATTGCCGGAGCTGGGTTGGGTGCAGCCTCTGTAGAATGCAACCGGCACATGGGCCGGCAGTTTGACACCCCTGCCTTTTGCATCCATACTATTTCTCTTTCCTTTTGCAATATTGGGAGTCTGCTGTTGTTGGGGGTTGGGTTTTTTTGGGGGGGGCACCTCACCCACCCTCCCGGAATTTTCAAAGATTATAGTAATTGCAAGATCACTGGCAATGGGTGAAAGAAGGGACAAAGTCAGGAATGTGTTTATCATGATACCTAGAAATACTTCTGAGCTTTTGGAAGATGAACGTTTGGGTTTTCTGTGGCTTGAGATATTATTAAATTGGAAAATTGAACATAAAATTGCATCAGTAATTCATCTCTGGAAATTTTTAAGTTTTATGATACCAAGTTTAGAAGATTTAGAATGTTTTTATACATAAGGACTTAAATTTTAAAGTGTTAATATTAGCATTTCTGTTTGTAAAATAGGTTGTCATGCTGGCTATGTATAATCTGTCTCTAGAAGGAATTGGTCGCCAAGGTTATTTCCGATGGAAAGAAGACATTTGTGCTTTTATTGAAAAACACTGGAGTTATCTACTAGGAAACAGGTAATTATTACAAATATATTGTATACAAGTAGTATGATAATTTAAATACTCAATGTTAATGTGGAAAATAGTTTCAGTAATATTATTTTTAATTTTGGGGAGAGAGAAAGGACACAAGCTTCAGAACTTGCAAAGCATATAAAAAAACTTTGTAAAGCATAATCTTAAAGTCATTCTTTTTTTTTACAAATATGTTGTGTCAAGTAGTTGAAATGTTAACCAAATACGATTCAAGGAAATCTCTAGTATACCAAAATCCTAGTAAAATAAAATGCTCTGATATTTTCATAGTTATAAATTGCCTGCTTATAGTTGCTATACTTTCAATTATTGTAGCTTTCTTCAATATATGGTACATGAAATATCGCTGAATTGGCTCTCAATTCAGTGGACTTAACATAGAATGGATTAATATTCTGCAACAGGAAAATTGACATAATGTATTTATGCAAATTGTCACAGGACTACTGTCCAATTTAATCAGTTTGTTCATATTTGACACCTGTGTCCTAATTAGTTAGCGTATAAGATGACTGGGCGTATAAGACGACCCCCGACTTTTGATAAGATTTTCCGGGTTTAGAAAGTCGTCTTATACACCGGAAAATACGGTACAATATTGAATTTCTGTTTATAGATGAGCACAATAGGAGCTCCATTCCTTTGCTGCTAGAAAGTGAGTGTTGCCCACCACTGCTTCCCTAATGCTTCCTGAACTCAGCTGGTATTTTTTTTCCTATATATTTTATTGATTTTTTAAAACATAAATCACTTAATAGTTGGTAAACAGTGTGTTTGCTGGGTTTACATTTGTAAAGAAAAATCATTAACAATTGGTTTCTATAATCTATAATCCACATAGTACATTTAGTTGATTTCCCCTTTTCCCCAAAATGTCTTCTTTGCAAACCTTGAAATAATATAGTTCTTATTATTTTGATAAAATATATTTAATCTTTAAATATTCCATTTAATGTGCCTAGTCATCTAATCCTTTAGGTCTTATTCAAAACATTTTTTTCTTTTTTATACATTATAATTTCCCTAAATTCAGACACATTTAATTATCTAAAACATTTCCTTCATCTAGGCCATTTCAGCAGTATTATATTACTTATATCAAGAAATAAAATAAAAGGGGGGGAAAGCATACAGTATTATTTAAGGAATTCATCTCTCTTAGAATGACATATGTATTCAGAATCTTTTCTGTTTCTTTAACCATATTCAAACAAATGTTTCTTTTTTAAATATTCTCTCTGGTAGATCCCATCATCTATTTTCTTAATTTTCACTTTGATCTTTTTCCTTTGACCAGTATCTTTCTTAATCAATGTGATTTGCTGAATCAAAAAGTTTTTCCATATATTCATGACTGCTGCTATAGGTATAAGAAGTAAATCGAATGTTTTCTTTTTTTTGTAGATGTAATGTCCTTAATTTATATAGCTTACTGTTTTCTACTATTTAATTGCTTTTCCTGAAACAGAATAAAGTGATAGGCGATGTAGAAAAATGGGATTTTTGTATGCTTTGTCCTGTTAGTGTTTATTTCTGTAAAAAAAAAATAGGGCTGGCCATTAGGGGGCAGATTGGTTTTAAATTCAGAGAACAGCTACCCATATATTCCGGCGTTTAAGACAATTGGGCGTATAAGACGACCCCTGACTTTTGAGAAGATTTTCAGGGTTTAGAAAGCCGTCTTATACGCCGGAAAATACGGTAATTAAACTAAGTGAGTTTATACTGCATTGTATTTTAAAAACCACAAAGCACATCCCATTATGGGTGAATGAATTTTTTTAAAACAGCAAAGCAATTTTTTGGTTGGAGAATCTATGTGGAGTATGGTGTTCACTTTTTTGTTTATTTAAAATATTAAATGATGAATTTTTATTATTTGAAAAATTGCAGTACAGGTGCCATTGATCAAAAGTGTTGAATAGCAGTATGTTGAATTAAAATACGTTTTGATGTCTAGATATGAATAGCAACTAGAAATTTTCCAGAATTCCTTCTAGAGAATTAAACAATTTTTAATAAGCCTATAATAATAATTTAGGAGTAGTTGTTAAAATAAAAAAATTGCAGGTGGTCGTCACTTAACATCTATACTACTTAGACATCATTCAAAGTTATGAAAGCATTGAAAAAGTAACTTTACAACTAGTCCTTGTACTTATGATGGTCACAGTGTCCCATAGTCATATGATTGCCATTTGCACTCTTCTCAGCTAACTTCCAACAAGTAAAGTCAGTGGAACATTAAAATTTTATTTCATGGCCATGCAATGTGTTGCTTAAAGACTGTGAGTGATTTGCTTAATAACTGCAAAAGTAGGTTTGTGGCAGTCATGTGATATTTCACTTAACTGGATTAGTGACAGAATTGCACATTTCAATTGTGGCTGTTAAGTGAGAACTACCTCTAGATATTAAAAAGCATATAGAAACAGAAATAAGGATCTGGACATCCATTTTAGCATGCATATGTTATATTTTAATAGATTTAAAATTGGAAAGTTCAGGAAAACCTTTTTACTATCTTTTGGATTCCTGTGTGTTTTTTAAAGAAGAAATCGGTGAATTCATCTAATAATTGACATGTTAAAAATACTATGCTTTACCATATGAGTTAACTTCACAGACTAATTTTGATCTGAAGGACTCAATGCCAGACACTTATGAACTGGAGGACAACAGAAATGTCTATTACAGATTGACATTGGTTAATGATTGTAATTGGGATTAGAATTTCTGTTGTTAATCAGTGCAGTCATAAAGTGTGATCTCACATGACTGCATTGCTTAGTGATGGCAAACCCTGCAGTCCCTGCTGCTGTCATTAAGCAGGGAATGCTCACAATTTCTTGCTGGTTGCTAATAAGCCAAATCAATGAGGAAGCTGGCAGGAAGTTGCAAGTCCAAGGCAGCCAGCCACAAGCATGCTTGTGGACGAGTAAGAGGCTGCTGCATTGCAGTGTATGGCAGGACCAGGGGTAGCTGCTACCAGGTGAGGGAGGATGTGCAGGGGGCTGCCACTAGACGAGGATGTTATGAGCACACACGTTGTTAGAGAATTTAAATTTCTCTGTTGGTGAAAATAAATCAGAAGCTCTCACAGTTGACTACATTTAGCTGATTCAAAATAACTTCTTTATATTTATATCAAAATATTTACAATACCATACATTCTTCTTTACAGCAACATAGCTCAATGAAGACTTCTTATAGAGACAAACCTGAGACTGAAAATTCAGCTTCTAACTCAATACCCTTTTGCACAGACTCAGTAGCACTTTCTTCACATTGGCTGACTGAGTTACCACATGACTCTTCCTGCTCATGAATATTCCAACAGATGTGCTATGGAGTACAAGATCCCTGGAATCTTGTACCCATTGTAGCCAGATTGCTCAGGAGAAAAAGCCGCAAGGGTGCAAGCAACTCACAAAAGCAACTTGCAAACTTCCATTCACGCTTCCACATTGACTTTGTGGGAAGCCAGCAGGGGAGGTAGCAAATGGTTGCCAAGCACTCAGATTGCAGTCACGTGACTACGGGGATCCTGGGGCAATTGGAACTTTGAGGAGCGGTTGTGAATACCACTTGTTTAGCACCATCATGACTTTGAATAGCCGCTGAATGGTTATTAAACAAGGATATTGAATAATGCTTGTAGTTTATAAAGCTTTTGTGTTATTAGATGTTGGTATAAATGTTATATTAAGGTGTTATTTAAAAATCATAATGCTAAACTCCTTAATCCTTTCTAATTGTTTAGAAAGAAGACATCTACATGGTGGAGCACTGTTGCTGGTTGCCTTTCTGTGGGAAGCCCTCTGTATTTTCGCTCAGGGGCTCAGGAATTTGGAGAACCAGGATGGTGGAAACTTGTTCACAATAGGCCACCTATGATGAAGCCTGAAGGAGAGAAACTTTCTGTTTCTTCCCTAAAAGCAAAAGGTAGGGCTCTATAAACTATATATAAATCAGTGTATTTCAAGATTCAAGCTAAGCCTAGGTTCATAGGCATTTTGGGGAGTGGAAAGGGAATGTGTGCAAGCTTTGAAAATTTAATTGAGAGTAAATTTTATGTATCACAATATAAAGGTACAAAATACAGATAGTCCTCAACTTACAACAGTTCATTCAAAGTTATAACGGCACTGAAAAAGGTAACTTATGACTGCTTTTCATGCTTATGACCATTGCAGCATTCTTATGGTCATGTGATCAAAATTCAGATGCTTGGGCTTCCGGTTCCGGTTCGCGGCGTCACTAGTCGCACGGGGAGACTTCTCTCCTCGTCAACTAGGTTTCCCTCCGTCAGTGGACCCTTATATAGGTCCAAAGTCGCCCTGGAGGGTGCGACTTCCGTCAAGGAGACTGCTGTCCGGCTGCGGAGGAGCGGCGGCTCCAGCTGTCCGGATGAATCGCCGAGGGCCGACGGAGAAGAAGATCGGCCAGTAAAATGGCCGATCGCCCAGCCGCTTCAGACTGTAAGTCAGACAACATCTAAGCTTTGAGTGCCCCCGTGGTGAATCTGGGTGAGAATATTTTCTTGTTTCTCTCTCTTTTCTGCCTTTTTTTGTTTGTGTACCTGTAAGAGCTTTTGGAATTATTTCCCTGGCTTGGAAAGGCGGCTTCTGCTTTTTTGGGGAAGAAAGGCATTTTATAAACACTGAAAGACTATATTTTACTTTTATTTGGACACTAAAAAGGAAAAAAAAGAAGGAAAAGGTTTTCTCTCTCCTCTCTTTTTAAGAATTCTACTATTTCTTTTATATATATATATATATATATATATATATATATATATATATATATATATATATATATAATACTTTAATATATCATCTACTTTAGTAGATGAAAATTTGGTAATCCAGATAAAGGATCAGAAATATATATACCCATATTAAAAAAAATTTACAATGAGTTAATAAAATTGGATTCAGAAACAGAGTTAGTAAAAGATTGTATGATTAAATGGGCCCAGAATATTTAGGAACCAATTTCATTGGATTTATGGGAGGTAATTTGGACCAGAAATGTTAAATTTACGCAGGCCCAAACTTTGAGGGAAAATTTTTATAAAATGTTTTATAGATGGCATCTGGATCCTAAAAAGTTGTCCTGTATGTACCCAAACCTGCAACCTAAATGTTGGAGATGTGGTTGTTTGGATGCAACCTATTTTCATGTTTGGTGGACTTGTAAAGATATTAAAGCCTTCTGGATTATGATTTGGTGGAACATTCAAAAGGTTTTTAAAAAGAAGATTAAGTTTACTCCCCAACTGTTTCTTTTGGGCATTTTTGTGGATTTTAATGTTAAAGAAACTATTTTAATGTTGAATTTAATAACAGCAGCAAGATTATTGGTGGGTCAATATTGGAAGAAGGATTTAGAAGAATGGGTATTTAAGGTTTCTAATTTAGCAGAAATGGCTAAAATTTGAGCTTATTTAAAGGGCCATTCACAAGAGAGATATTTTAATGTATGGAGAAGATGGATAGAATATGTTCAAAAGAAGTATGGAACTACAAAGTTTCATTTATTTTATGAGTAATGAATTTGTTTATAAATTTATGATAAAGTTTGAAGAAAGTTAAGGGTTAATATGATTTTGTTCATTGTATAATTAGTAAACTTAAATAGATTATGTTTAATATGTTTGTATAATCCTGTACTTTGTTCTGGGAAGTCGGGGGGGAAGGGGGTGGGGGAAGGGGGGTGGATGGGTCGAAGTTTAAGTAGTTAAGATAAAGTAGAAATAGTTTTACTGTATATAATATTAATGTTTCAATTTGGAGAGAGGAATTGCTCGGGCATTTCCCCTGGACCGCATCCGAAGCGAGAAGGTAGAAGAAGGTGAGAAGCAACTAGGAAGGCTGAGGAGAGGTGGAGAGTGAGGAAGAGGAAGAAGAGGGAAAGAGGCAAGTTGGTTGGGGGTGGATGCGGTTTGGGGGGAAATGGGTGGGCAATACCGAAAGTGGTGTGTATCAATTTGTTTTATTTTTTATCTGAAGTATTTTTAAGATTGTAATGTATTGTAAAATTGAAAATGAAAACTTTTATAAAAAAAAAGACAGAAAAAAGGAACTGATTTTTGGAAAAGACATTCTTAACTCACTGAGGGCATCTAGTGGCGAAAATTTAATACTGCAACTTTTGTTTATTTTTCTATTGAATTTCAAAACACTAAAGAAGCTGCGCACCTGTGAAGCTGTGGGGGTGGATGTTTTTGCATTAAATAAAGCCTCTACAAAAAAGAAAAAGAGATTTTCTTTTAAACATTAGTATTAAAATGGAGAAACCTCAGATGCAACTGAACTGTGCACTTATATTGGAAAAGATTTATGAGGCTACAGCAGAAATATGTGCTACATTCAAAAACTACTTTAGAATTAAGATCCAGAGACTCTACTACATTTGTTCAAACTGATGTCCAGGTTACAACTGACTATGGCATAAATCAAAATGTACCAGAAGAGGCATTTACAGAGATAGAAGTGGAATTTATTTCATCTGACAATCCTTTCTTCAGCAACTTAGAGAACCAGAAGAAGCAAAGACCAAGATCTCAAAATACAAAGCAACTACGCTGCAAGGAGAACAGAAAAAGACGTTTACTTCAGAAGAAGGGATTTATATTTTCTCAGAGATTACTACAAGCAGCAAGAATAGATCTATTGGTAGAAAGGGAAAAAAGACTACTGCAGAGGAAGGGTTGAAAGCGAAGCGCTTTTATGGAAGCCTGTGTGGCATAGAAAGAAACCCAGAATTAGACTGAAAAAGAAATTCAAAAATGTTTAATGGAGTAAAAGGCAATGCTGATTTTATGAATTGTTTTAAGGGTAACGATCTAGAGTTAGAAGTAAGAAAAATGCAATTATATACATGTCTGTTTAAACTAGTAAGTATTTAAATTGATTAGGTGATTTTTGTGTATAATAATATGATCTGATAAGGTATGATAATTAATTGGATGGAATGTGAAGTTTCTGTAATGAATTGAAAGGAACTAATGTTTAACATTTTTTTCTTTCTTTCTCTTAATTAAGTTAGTTATAATTATATATACATATGTGTTTAAATTAGTTAGATTTTTTTTTTTTGTTCTATGGAAATCTGTTTGGATAAAAGAACCTTGGCTTTATGGATTGTATTAAGGATAAAAGTATATAATTATATATATTAAAAATAAAAGTAAAAATATGACTCTTGGGAATATCCATACTATTAAAACAATGATCACCAAGAGAATGCTTTAAGAGGATAAAATTTAATTAATCAACCAAGCTTTCATCAAAATACATTTGACATCGTCAGAGTATGTATTTTGACGAAAGCTTGGTTGATTAATTAAATTTTATCCTCTTAAAGCATTCTCTTGGTGATCATTGTTTTAATAGTATAAGTATGTATGTATGTTCTGGAATTGAAAAAAATGTTCAGTCATGAGAATGTAATTTTGAAGTGCTTAAATTGATGAGGTGATTTTTTTTAATAATAATATGATCTGATAAGGTATGATGGAATTAAGGTTTAACATCGTTTTTTTTAATTAAGTTAGTTATTGGAAGAAGAAATGAATGAGATTGGTGATAAGAAGAGGGCTGAGAGGGACTTCCGGTGGTTAGCGTCGATGATGGCGGCTACATTGTAGCCGTCCTCCTGGGATGGCGTCAGAACCGCGGAGCACAGCGGATACCAGCTGTCCCGCGGCTCGAAATCCCCCTCCCGGGCGAAGGGAGGGGGTAGAGAATCACACGAATAGAGGTAGAGTCTCTTGAACCCCCCAGGGATTTTTTTGGGGGGGGGTGAAAGAGAGCTCCCTCGGAGTTCATGTTGCCTCCGCCTCCCAACTGTTTTTGTTTCTTCGGAAACAAAGTGAAACGCCGCTACCATCTCCGCGCTTAAAGGGATCGGGTGAGTGAATTTTAAAGCGGACAGAGCTGGATAAAGGATTAAACTTATTGAGTTTTATTTGCTTTTTAGTTTATGTTGATCTTTTTTTTTTTTTTTTGTTCTTTGCTGGTGTGGAGAGTGAAAGTAAAATGGCGATTTGAAAGTGCTTTTTTTTTTCCCCTTTCTTTTCCGGAAAGAAGCGAGTTAAATGGAATGTAATGGATTATATAGTTCTTTCTTTTTAAACTTTCTAAACTTTTTTTTTGAAAGTGGTTCTGTGGTTTTGAAATCTCTTTTGAACTCTCCTTTGTTTTTTTTTTTTAATTTTTGAGGGAAGAAAGAGGGTACTTTTAAAAAATGGAATGGATTTTTTTTATTTAATTATTTTTCTTTTCCCCTTTTTCCCTTTTCCTTTTTTTAACTCTTTTCTTTTTATTATAATGATCTCCTTTTGAAGGATTTTTTGAATTTTTTTGGAGTTAATCTCTCTTTTTCTTTTGCTTAATTTTTGTAATTTTTAAGAAGGAGTAAAGATTTTTTTTTAAGATGGCTCCAAAACGTCCAGTAATTCCTACAGCTCCTAAGGTGGTTTCTTCTTCGGTGTTATCATCAGCGCAACAACTTAAACTAATAGTTTCACCCTCTTCCTTGGTACAGCCAATAATTGTGAAGGATTTGCAAGATATGATGGGAAATGTTATATCTCAAATTAGGGGAGAAATGAAAGAGATTTTAGAGGAAAACAATAAGATTTTGAGGCAAGAGATAGTTTTGGCTCTAAAAGAAGTTGCCTCTGTTCTTGAAAAGCTGAACTCTCGTGTAGAAGAGGTAGAAGAAAAAGTGGAATTGATGGAGGGAAAATTTGAAAGTATGGAAAAAGAAATGGAAAATGAGATTCTTATGCTTCAATATAGACAAATGGAATATGCCTTAAGAATCAGAGGCTTGGGAGAGACTGTGCAAGGAGACCTGAGAGAGATGGTTGCAAAGGACTTTGCTGTGATTTTGAATAAAGAAAAAGAGGAAATACTTAGTGAAATTGAAAAATC